GTCTTACCAGACTTTAAACGGCTCCAAACAAGTGGCAACATCAGCTCACACACTCAAGCAGCTTGGGACAGTCAGGAGGAAGGTAGGGTGTGTCGCTCTGATTTGTTTGGCACTTTTTCATTTGCACCTGGATGAGTGGGATTTGTAGTTTCTGAACAGGATTTTTTTTTCTCATACATAATATTAAGGTCTTTGTGGACCCTAAACACTCCACATTCTGAGTCTATAAGGAGAGGAGTGAGGTGGTGGTCAGTATATTGTTGCTCGGATTTCTTTCGGGGTGTATTAAGAGTTTAAGTTGCAGAGTAAACACTAATTATCCAACATGGTCATCGAGCTTATTTAGACTTTAGTTTTGTTTTTTGTTTGTCTGCGAGGAGAGTTTTTTTTCGTGCTTTAAAGAATACACTAACATACTCTGTGAAAAGCTCAGTGTCCTCTGTCTTGCATTTTCATCAGCTATATGAATATTATTTCCTGTTTCTCTTGATGAAAAATAACTTTATCTTCCCGGACTTTTCACGTGTTCTGTCATGCTCAACAAAGTACTCGTCGCTGTGTATGCAATTTCGGATTTCAAATGCATTGTATTAATTTCGATTTTTGAATTCTTAATTTTATTTTAATGTAGACGTGACGATTAGTCTCTCTAAATAATTTCGGTTGCTGATGGGATGTATTTTGTTACAATTACATTTATATGCAATGTTTGTCTAAATTTTGGACGTTTGTAAGAAAATGTTGCACATCTTATAATGTAAGTAAGGACATTTCATTTTTATAGCACGTTTATGTTGATTGATGTTTACATCAATGCTGTAACTGCAATAAGTTAGTTAATTAACCAATTCGCACTACAACCTGGTTTGCCTCTTACCTGTAATTATTTTTATTTAATTTAATAACTGTACAGTACTCTCTGTTTATAGTAACCATTGTCCTTAATGTAAATATGTAAGAAAAATTGTGTATGTTTCTGTTCTGTGTCCTGTGTACTGTTTGTTTGTATATTTGTCTTTTTGGCTGCTGTTACAACCAAATTTCCCCTTGTGGGACATAAAGGATTATTCTATTCTATTCTATTCTATGGCAGCACGGCGGCTGGCTGCTTCCCAAACAAAACACGACATGTTTGTAACTATATAACTAACAACTCAACGGATTCAATTGGCACAATAATGACTTCCCTTTACGATTAAACTACACTACTAGTAATGTAAGCAGGAAGATAAAGCAGCGAATCTTTCCACTTATATTTCCTCTCAACTGTTTGTTATTTGCTCCTCCTCCTCTTGTGGTGCCACTGAGGAATTTTTCCTGGATTTAGTGGCTCTTTGATTTGGCGTCAGTTTAGTGGTAAGAAGAGTTGAAAGCTAACAATGCCCAGCAGGCAAGCGAAACTGAGCAATGGAGGGTGGGCTTACACATAGCAACATCGGATACGACTAATTTTTAGATGAATATGATAACTAAGTGATTATTTATTATAGTATAATTATTAAATAGCTATTATAGTAAAATGATAATAGATTAGAATATAGCAGTTTACTTCATGACATTAAATCTGACAATGTTAATGGACAGTTATGATATTGTTTGCTGTATAGAATACTTTCAAAATATACAGCCATGTGATGGGAGCAGTGACATTAAATTAGGTTACATGACATTTCTGATGTTGGACAGAGAATGTTCGATAGAAAACTTCAAAATAAAAGAATAATAATCTTACTTAATGCTGAGCGTCCCAGGCCCCCGTAGCAGCTGAGGAGATAGGGAAAAGGAAAATGACAAAATCCAATGAAATTGACAGCTAAAGAAAAAAAACTGTTGTATTGTATAATGAAAGGTGTCCCGAGGAGCTAAAAATAGATGTATTTGTGGTGATATGATGCCATTTGGCACTTCAAAGTTTTATGATACCAAGGTGTCCTTTATTGGACAGGGAATACTGTGGTAGCGATACCTCTCAGCATTAAAATTAAAACCCACTCATATCATACAAGTTCAGGACAACCAGTTTCCTCCTGTTGCCTAGCGAGCAGCTTTATAAGCTCTCTGGGAGAGTGGAGAGCTTCTCAGGGGCCTTTTAGTAACAGACAGTAATGGATGAACATGCCAACAATAGGCTCGTAGGGCTCTCTACCTTGGAATAGTTTAGAAACAAAACTTCCATAGGTTGAAGTCGTCGACTTCTTAGAGCTAAGAAACCTCCTTATGAGAGTAATACGCTGACTATGGACACAGACTCAGTAGCAACACCTTCTTACGTTTTAATCTATCCACACGCTGATTCCATAATTTTTTACTAGTATGCAGTGATCTGACATTTTCGTTACACTAGGTAAAAGATAATTAATTCATGGCTATTTACTTTTACCACGTGATCTAAAACTGAGGCATTTTGAGGCAAGCCAACCAATGTGACTGAAAGTGATATTCTTATGATAAGCAATGACTGTATTGTTTTCGAAATTCTGCCAATATGATGACAAATACTAATATTTTAATATATCACTGTTCAGTTTTTATGTTATTTTAAACGGAATAATTACAAAATAAAAGTTTTATTTTTATATTTCATAGACCATTTAACCTTTAAATGCATGTATGTAAGTATCAGCCTATCATTTATATATGTGCGCAAAGGCAAGACAAGCGGAACTTTAGCCCATCTGCGATGCTTACTTTTTAAGGATAAACTCGTTAATACACACGTTTTTTCCTTGAGTGGGCTACAAAAAAATACAATTAAAAATAAAGTAAAAATCAAAAACTGTTTAAAGACGCTTTCGTTCTAATTTTGATTTCTGTAGGCTTAAAAAATACGTCTTTATCCGCGTTGTTTGAGATGGCTGCCTTTAAACTTTAAATTCATGATTAGTTTGCTTTATTAATTATCTAATGATTACCGCGGACTCCAGGTTCTCCAGGACCGAGCTTCGAAGTGTTTTTACGTTTCATAAATAGCCTAAAACATAAGAACGTAAGATTATAGCTTTTTTTCTCTTTCACACAGGCTTTAAATTTTGGATTTCATCTACCTGCAGCTCCTGTATCAGTACCTATCGTTTCAAGTGCTCATTAAAAAGTAAATAAACAGCCAAAAAACGTTTCACTTTACAGAATGATATGCACAACCTCACACTGCTGGGTTGTATTCCCATTGCTGACATTTTAATTCTAAGACTGTTTTAAAGGATTTTTGTTAGACTGCATTCCAGTTACTTGTATTTGTCAGCATCAGCGCGCAGACTTCTCACTGTGGACGAGGCCAATAAATAAAGTATATATTTGTTTTATTTCTTCACTCTCACACGTGGCTTGTAAACTCGTGGAGTATCCCTGAATAAATTTCCGTCTTTATCATTTATCAGTTATGCAGTAACGCTGCCTGATAGTCATGTCTGCACTGACAACAGCGTCCGTGTCATTTAAAAGTGCTGTCCGGTCTTCTGCAAACTCTTCGTTTCGCCTGCTCGCTGTTTGTGTGCACACCTGCTGTGTTAAAAGTTACCTGCACCCACTCGACCAAGCAAAAAATTCAACTTCGAGGCGAAAAAGTGTGTGGCAGCTTCCCAAAATGTTTTGTTTATTTTACATTTCTTTGCCGGGTTGTTTTGTCTTTAAAATGTAAACAAATAAACAGCCTATCTGACGAACGCGAAGCTTCACGAAACCTGCAAAAACTTCACAGAAATACATTTGAAAACTGGAAAATTATGATTACAAAGTTTAGACGATTCGTTTTTTCTCCGCGGGAAAATGTTGCTACACAAAGGCTATGGCATAAGACTACATCCCAAAAATATGTGTATATTATTTTATCATATGGCAAAGACGAACCAAATTTAGCACTTTTTTCAGTCAAAAAAATGGGGGTAAGTGAGCACATAGGCCCACCTTCGCTTTTATCAGGAACAAATTCAAATTAATTATGTTTATGGATTTTTTCAAAGGCCTCTGTGAGCACTGCTAAAGTAGTGCAAATATCGACGAGTCGCTACGGAACAAACACAAAGCTCGAGTGGTGTCCGTGTGCAACACTGACTGGTGAGGAAAGTCACCCTGGGGGTGACTACGTAATGAGATAACAGCCTAAAATGCAAATGAGACATTTAAGTGGGCACACTGCAAAAAATGATGCGTTTGAAAAGTTGCAGATTACTGCTCCCGTGTTTCTTCAGAACTAAATTTTGTCCTTAATGGTCGAGTTAAATCGTTATTATTTTCTTCTTCTTCTTCTTCTTTGGTCTTATTTCAGGAGGAACATGAGAATAGAGGGATTTCATCTGCAAAATTCACGCTTAAAAGTTACTAGTTTGGCACTGTAAGTTTGTTGTGTACTTGCAAAGCCATTATAAAGTCAGATAGATACGCATTAGGGTGATGTACAGTATTATGTATACATGGTGCAATACAATTTGATGTAATTTAGGAGGAAATGCTATTTTTTTTACCATCTAATCCCTCTGTGGTGTGCAGGGTAAACCTGTGTGAAGCCAAAGGCCTAAAGATAGACTTCCTCATGTTCACCCCCCAACATGCACACACACACACACACACACACACACACACACACAGAGGGAGAGAGAGAAAGAGAGATAACTATATCCCAAATGTAGATGTATTTATTTTTTTCCTCGGTTCTATGAACCCAGCTTGGTTCCTTGTTCTTCTTGAATAATTAACTGAATAGTAAAATAATGGTTTAAAGCACCCAGAGACAAAATTCGGTCGGTAAATTGATATTGTTAATTGCCCAGACATCAGTGCAAGCACAGACAAAACATAGCTTATGATCCTTTTATTAGTCAGTTGTAATAATAAAGAAGGGCAACCTGTTGGCCTATGCCTACTAATGCATGCATGACTGAGCGTCACGCTTGATGAACTTGATTCTATTGTGCGTAGATCTACGGAGAAGAGACTGGTGCTTAACGGCGCACGAATATGTCAATATCAAATGAATTAGAGGCTGGAGACTGGGATCAAGAAGAGGTTTGGAGTGGATAAATAAGAAGAACTGGGGTGTGTACCAGTAAGGAATTATTGCCGCGGACATAAACCAATGCTCTTCCTGCAAAGGCAACACCTCCCCACCTCTCCATCCTCCTCCCTCATAGCCCCACACCGGCACTTCTACGTAGCGGACTCAGTTTCCGCTTCGCACGGTTGGTCAGCGACTCGCAGCGGAGAGTTGGAGAGGGAGCGCGCACGAGAAAGAGGGAGCTCCTGAAAAACCAGAGGCTGGGAGAGAGAGGAGGGACGGAGGAGGTGACAGACCTGCTCCGCTGGGAATAGGCTACAGCTTACTGCTAAGTGCCATCGGCAGAGTAGGCTCACAAAACGCACCTCCGCTGTAAAATGCAACAATAAGGCACAGAGCAGCGCCGTGTAGCTGTCAGCGATCTCCGCAAGGATCTGCGTGGTTTTGACTCCGCTGTGTAGGAACTAACTGAGGGGAGAAACAGTGGGGATTCATGGGGAGTTTGTGCAGCTTCTTCGAGAAAAACGCCTGGATTATCTGATTTTTGATTGATTTCTTATTTTTTGGACGGGGCGCTGGACGTTTTCAAGGCGACACTGCGTTTCTCTGCTGGGCCAGCTGCAGCCTGCGACCTGTTTTTGGTTTTTAGGTAAGCTGATGCTGATCTGAACCGACTGCGTGTACCCACCGTGACTGCATTTCATAACTCGCCCACATCGTAGTAAATGCTACTCCGCGTTGCAGGAATCGCAGCTGTCTGCTGAAGTGACACCGTCTGAGTGTAAATGATTTTTTTTTCTTTTCTTTAGGAGGCACCTCTGCGATTTATTTTTGCTTTGATCGCCGCCTCGCAGGGCAATACAGCTCATGTGTTTAGTTCTGGGAGCATGCAGGGGGAAAAAGGCGAGGGCCTGCTTCGGTGTGTCACAATAAAAGTCCTAATAGTTTAGTAATGTTGTGAATATTGAAGTTATTCTCCTAAGAATAACATATGCAGAATAAAGTGACCTGTATCTGTGAAAAACACATTGCACTGAGCAATTATTAAGAGTATTAAAATGCTTTGGGTTTAAACGTTTAGCTCATGCCATTAACATGAAGGCTTTCTATCATGTGTGTTATATTTACATATGTTATGCTTTCATTTCTGAGCTATCAAAAAAGTATTTTCACTTGACAAAATAGTAACAGCAAGTACAATAAATGTGATTACACAATGAAGCTTATTTGTGTGTCTCTAAATTCATATTAACACAATGTCCTGAAAGTCTGTCTTCAGTTATCCGGTTAGTTAAGAAGGTCGGGCTGCACACACTGACATCTCTGTTTCCGTCTCCCAGCAGCGACGTGTAGTTTTCGGAGCTCCGGTCATGGCGGACCAAGAGGAGACTTTTGTCCTCCAAAACTCTCCAGGTGGCTCGGATTCGAGAGAATTACAGAGCGATAATAAATCAGAGAAACAGAACGGGACCTCAAGCAAATCCCCGTCATCACAGACAACTTACATCCAGCAGGTCAGTGCTGGCTTGCAGGCCTCACACTCACTGCTTCAGGCTGCAAGCTGCGGACTTAGGGGTCACTTTCACTCATTTGCAGGAAAAAAAATAGCCTAGGCGTTTTTGTCAGAAGCAGGCAGATACCCTGTTGTTCTTAGCGTTAAAAATATAAAATATAAATCATGACTTAAAAACAAATGTCCGCACAGTGAATGGAGTGTTTCTGCTAATTTGAGTTCTTTCAGCGTATATATTTACGCTGTTTGGAGATAGAAATGTGATTGGATCTGATATTTAGCCCACTAGTGATTTTTTTTAATTTGTGAAATGAAACAACTTCAGCAAAGTCTCAGCAAATTTTTAGTTTCTGTTAAGCTTCATAGCGTAACTGTGTGTGTTATAGTTTATAGTCATATGGGATACAGATCAATTCTGTGTGGGTTTATGTTCATTGCTACACATTAGCTTTGACTATATTATTATACAATCGTGTTTGCTGCTTCAGTTCTCACGGCAAAGGCTGAACAAGTTAAAGGCTACGGTATTATGGCTGGTTTAAACTGTTAATTCATAAGCTTATTATCCTCTGCATTATGTACAGCTTAGCCCTCAGCGTACAACTCGGTTGTCCAAAGTATTTGCATTTTATTTTTTAAAGTGTTTTAATCAAACACTAAATATTAGACCTACAGTTTTGATTTTGATTTTTTACAACCTCTGAACTCAGAAGGCCTTAAATGCATGCAGACTAGTGCATGACACCTCTATCTATAATGCAACTTTAGAAAAACCATACACACTAATGTTTTACTTTGAAGGGAATGGAGGGAATAAAGGTCTACCTGCACGAAAGGGAACTATGGACGAAGTTTCACGAGGTGGGGACGGAGATGATCATCACCAAAGCGGGACGGTAGGAGCATCTAAAACATTTTCATTATTATTATTATCGCGATTAGAAAGATTTCAGTAGAACTAATGGGTTCATTGACTGCGTGTCTGCTTGTTGATGAGGCTTTTAGTTATCTTGGCCGATTTTCGAGCTTAAATATAAACTATAAACCAGACTGGAATTTTCTTGCGTGGGGATCTGGAACCGTACAGAACCACAGAGAAAACACAAGAGCATCTGGTGGACGCTTTAGTGTTCTGCAGCACTGCCGGTCCATATTTTAGTCTGGGTGGCCTTGTTGGGAAATGCGATACAGCGAGAGAGCCAACGTGCAAAACGTGCCCCCTTATGTAAAATGTTACCGATTGTTTCTTTGCGTTGAAATAAAGACATTAAAGAGCATAAGGGCTGCCTTTTGCGCCGTTTTCTCTGTATCCGCTGCAGGTGTCTCTCTGTGTGTGTGTGTGTGTGTGTGTGTGTGTGTGTGTGTGTGTGTGTGTGTGTGTGTGTGTGTGACTGCGTGCACACACTTCTTGTGATCCAACACGTGTGCAACAGCATGCTGTGCAGGGACCGCGTGAGTGAATGTGTCCTGCTGTCAGCTCCACGGTCGCCCTCAGACTGTATACAGTCAAAACAGCTCATGTCGCCTGCGTGTGAACTTTTATATGCGCCCATGACTTTTTTTATGTCAAATAGCTTCGGAGCACCGCTTGCACAGGCTCCTACAAATGAGGAATATTTACAGTTGAATATTGCTGCATTTCGATGTGCTCTCCAGCGCGGGCAGAAGGCAGTTGTTTTCTTACAGCTGCAAAAAGTCTCCATTATATTCCCGTCAATCATTTCACTCCTGTTTTTGGCAAGAGATGATATTACACAGCATCCATCCTCGTCCGTTAGCCCTTCCCTTTCACTCGTGGGAGAGCTTAGTGTTTCTCTCCGTGTATGTGTGTGTTTTCTGCAATATGACAGCTACCAAATATCCAAAAGATTTACTAGAGGGATGTTGCACGTATAAAAAAAGGTCTGGAACATGTTGAATTTTTTTTTTTATAATGGCTCTTCTCAGATCCAACGCCCTGCCTTGAAAGTAAGATTTTCCTCTCCAAACACCAAAGACGGATATTTATATGTTTTAAATCCTCCCACTTAACCTTTCTCTATGCTTCAAAATATTATTTACTTTTGGTTTGCTTATTAAAGAGTGAATGGCACAGGCTTTATTACGAAAGCATTTGATTTCATATATACATATATATGTGTGTGTGTGTGTGTGTGTGTGTGTGTGTGTGTGTGTGTGTGTGTGTGTGTGTGTGTGTTAATAGGTGTGAGTAGTCATGTACTTGTTTTTTTCTCGCGTGTCCACAACACTTTTATTTTCCTGTACAGGAGAATGTTTCCCAGCTTCAAAGTGAAGGTCACAGGATTAAACCCTAAAACGAAATACATTCTACTTATGGATGTTGTTCCAGCTGACGACCATCGATACAAATTCGCCGATAATAAATGGTACGTAAAAACATAACACAGCAACGCTTCTCTAAAGGGATTTGCCTTGCCAACATATACTTTTGCGCACCGATGAAAATCCGGGTCATTGTTTTTTTTGTTTGTTTGTTTTTTGGTGTGTGTGTTTTTTTAGTTTTTGATTTTGTTTTGGGTTTTTTTTTGGGGGGGGAGGGGGATCTCAGCTAGTCTCTCGCTTTCTCGCTCTCTCTGGAGTTATTTGCAGCGGGGAGCGTTATATTGTCGTGATGGACGGGAATCGGAAGTGAATATATTATTTCCGGGAGAATTATTAACTGTGTTTTTTCTAATATTTGCCAAGAAATGAAGTCAGCAGGCAGAAATGTTTCTGTCAGTGCTGAGTTTTCTGCGCTGAAAGCAACGAGATAAACTTTTCCTTGCACTGCATCAAAGATTTTTTTTCACACGGCTGTTTGTCTTGAGTCGTTCTCCAAGCGGGTCTTTCTTCTTTGTGTCAGAGCCTTTAATATTGCTAGCTACATGCCAATGATGCCACTGAAGACGCATTAAGCACGGCCTAAAACTAATTCTCCCCTCGTTCCACATATGTTGCAAAACAGTGCCTTTAACGTCTAACGTGACTAGAAGCAATCAATATCCGACAATGGCACGATACAGAAGGCTTCCTTATGTACTGAAGTTTAAAGTTAATAAAGCAAAGTTTTGAAAAAGAGGTAATCACCCATAGTTTAGAACTTTAAGTGCAGAAAGTCCCATATTGCGCCATTTTGTGCGTAATAATTAGAAACAGTGCCCCACTAATTTAAGTTTTCCGTTTATAATAAAAATTTAATTTATTATTACATTTTATCCACAGTCATTATCTTCTGCTTCTTTCGACATGTTAGGACCGACTCAGTTGCGGCTAGCATGTGAGTGTTAGTCCAGCAAGTTTCAAAGCGTGTGACTGTGTTGCTGTGTATCAGGTCTGTGACTGGGAAGGCAGAGCCTGCCATGCCCGGGAGACTCTACGTTCACCCAGACTCTCCCGCCACGGGGGCTCATTGGATGAGGCAGCTCGTCTCCTTCCAGAAGCTGAAATTGACCAACAACCACCTGGACCCGTTCGGACACGTAGGTGCCTGCCTATCATCAATACTATTTAACCACATGATTGCTAACCTGGTGTTGCACTGACCCAAATCCCGAGAATCCGTTAAGGCCCGACGTGTTACATGATGGCACTAAATGCTTATCTGCAGGTCTCTGCATCGCCACTTATATAAAAATGCCTAACATATTATTATTATTATTATTATTATTATTATTATTATTATTGTCGTTGTTGTTGTTGTTGTTGTTGTTGTTGTTGTTGCTACTCGCAGCTAATTAAAAGTACGTTTTATTGTTTTCTTGAGGTTAAATATTTTACACACATTTTAAATTGATTAAAGCTAATGCTCCTGCCTGGTCATATTTTTTAAAGAGAGGCAACCAGTTTATTGATTTATTTATTTGCTTAAAACTTTGCATTTGATCTGTTAAATGTGCATTAAAACTTAAACATAATCTTTCAGTCATTCTTTCACTGCACCTGTGGAGCCCAAACTTTATTAAGTTTCTTCTGTAAAGATGTGTTTTAGTGAAAGTAAATCGTTTGATAAATTCCATCTAACCATCCATTCATCGCTTTGGTGGAGGGTATACGTTTTATTATATAGATACGTTTATATTTTTTATGTTTTGTCCTTTTTTTCCATTTTTTGTTAAATGTAACTTGCAGTGTTAAAATGAATACGAAAATAGTAAGTAATGAAATGCATTCTGATGTTGAAAACGTCACAAAATTAATTTTAAATAGTGAAATAGTTGTGGTGTTCAATTAGATGCAAATACTTCTACCACTACTATACTACTGCTATAATAATAACAACAACAACAACAACAACAACAATAATAATAATAATAATAATAATAATAATAATAATAGTAAGCCTGATATACTTTAAACACAAAAAAAGAAATATAGAGGAAATTTTGTGCCATATGAAGGTTTTTTCTACTTTACTTTTTCAAAGTGGAATCTCCTGAGATTACAAAAAAGTTTGGTGATATTCTGTTTTTACTATTGAACTTTTACTTTTACTAATGATGTAAAGGTAATGTTTTGAAGAGTCTCTGTGACTTTAGATAAATATTCCAGATTGAGACAAATATTTCTTTCTTATCGTGCCATCATCTTATTCTTTCATATGTAATATGTTTGCTATGAAGCTGTTAGTAACATACCTTTTGTAGCACAGTGTTATTATAGCACCCCCTAGGTGCATTAGCCATGGACCTCCTGGAATTCAGCTTGCATGAGTAGAAGAGATCAACTGGGAACTTTTTTAGGAAAAAGGAAAAGGGCAATTGCACCACCACCCACCATCTCCTTCACCCTTCTCAGCAGTAAGAGGCTGTATGGTACCTATTTCCTAGCTTTAACTCCTCATTATTCTAAACTCCCTATCTGGCCTCAGGCTTTTGTGATTCCTGTCTTACCCAAAGCAGAAAGTACAAACATCACTTACTTCATCAACAAATGGGCCCTTTGGCAGCAGGTTTTCATGAAGAAGGGTATCTCGATGGGTACATTTAGGCCTAATTAGATGTCTTTTTGTAGAAACAGAGCATCTGCACAGTTAACTTTCTTACTAACAGGCTTAGCCATTAAAGGAAAATACAATTATAAATTTGGCAAAGGTTACCTCAACAGCTGGTTTGCTTTCATGAGAAAACATTCCTTAACGCAAGCTGTGTTTGTTTGGTTTTGCTTTTAGAGACGTATTACTCCACAATGCTCAATTGTCCACAAAAAACACGATCTCATTGCATATGACCAATTATTGTTATTATACTATATATTATTGTTGCCATTATACTATATTCCTATGTATACTTCTGCATCCACTTAAGGTGTTGGTTTCAGTGTGGTAATGAATCAAAGTGAAGCTGGTTTCAGCTTTCAAAGTTACCCACGGAAAAATTAATATGAATTCTAGCACACACAAGCTACTATCTGTCCACATGGCACCTAAAGGAACTGCTCCCTTGCCAAAGCACAGCCGGTGAGATGAAACTGAGTCTCAGTCGGAATGTGAGCAGCACTGTGAATTTTGGGTTAAAGTAAAGTAAAGTTTGATTGGTTGCAGTGGTTCCTGGCTCGGCCTCTTTCGTGCTGGGAGAGAGCACCATGGGATTCATAAATGAAGCACTGGTGGCTGTCCAGAAATATACTCCATCAGCTTGTTGGTCCAGCTGGTTGAAATAACTTGTAGATGATTTATAATTACTAGCAGTGAGACATGAGACCAAAACATATTGCTGATGCCGATTAGACCAATACAGGACTGGCCTGAGGTCTTCTTCTAGAAATGTCTGTAAAACATACACGTCAGGGGGCTGGGCAGGACTGAGCTCAGTTTAGGAATTAATCTCAGAGGATGTGGTGCCTTTGTCTTAATGCAAGGTTAATTGTTCTGTTTTTGGTTTGTGACAGTTTTATAACCCATTGCACTGTATTGCATAACCGTGGAGTGTAACCCTCACTCTTAAAACAAATTTGTTATAACAAAAATTTTAGTGCGAATCATGAAAGAAGGTAGTTTAAGGAGCTTTGGAAATGTTAAGAGAAAATCTTGTAGATATGCTATTTTATTAAGTTTTGTGTAGAAATATAGTGAAGAATAGTGGGTTGAAGTGGGCAGAAGGATATTTGCAAGGAACAGGATTTTTAAATTATACACAGTATGTATAGGTTACACACACATAAGTCATTTTTCTGATATTTTACATATTCGTCGTATGAAAGTGTTGAGGCTGAGGTCTGTTTCACTAAGCAGTTTATTTCAATGGTAATGTGTTTTAGTTATAGCGAAGCTAGGTAATGCATTTTAAAGAAGTGTTAGATTTATTTAAAGATACAATTATTAATCATAATGTTCTAATTTTGTGAAGTAACTAAGTATATATACTCACTGACTTTAGTTATATTACAGGGTAACAGTTTTGGCTAGCTATTTGGTTTTTAGTTTCCATGAGATTCTACTTACATAAATATCTTCTTTAAAAAAAAAGTTATACATTAAACTGCCCCAAAATGTAAAAATTCTGTATTCTTATTAGTTAAAGGTTAAACTTTGCCATCTGCAACATTATAATTTTTGTATATAGCATATTTAGTAACAAGTGCTATTTTGTTGTAAGTAATTTTATTTGTGATTCAAGTATCTTAAATTTAATCCCTCTGTACTTTGGCTTTAACAAAGTGTATTTGCTTTGTTGCTTGTTATTCATATCCGTCGATACATATCAAAACCTCCACAACAGCACTAGTTTGGTCACAAAATTACAGAATTAAGTGGTGTTTTTTCTGTATCTGAATTCCTGAATAGTTTGTTTTTGTTTCTGTTTCATACCAATCTGTAGTTTTTGCTCTGATGTCTGTCTCAACTCCCAGAATATTTCTCAGTGTTATTTGTCTTACCCATCAGTTTGCTGCTGCACTCGTCTCCCAGTCTTCCCACACATGTTTTGTGCATGAGGGTGGAGTGTGAGGATCACACTGTTTATATTTGAATGGCAGTGTGTGATGAGCAATAGATGGTGGTGTACAAAGACTGCTAATCCTGAAGCTTGGGGAAACTCTCTGATGTGGAGGAACTTGAAAGTAAAAGGGCAGCAGCCCGGGACCCAAAGTGATCCTTCACTATCATTACATGCGATCATCCAGAAGCTAGGGGGGGTTGAGGCAGAGATACAGGGAACCAGGCAGGGCAGTGACTGGGCCACGGAGTTGAGGTGTATGCTGAGTCCCCAGTGGGTGGTCTACAGCTACCCCCTCCTCACTACCACATCCCATCCTAATACCACAAATACTGGACTTTAGGAACCCACGGTTAGTGGGCCATGCTATTTTCCATGGTGAAATGTGCATTTAGACATCTATGCAACTTCTAATATGTCTTCATGACAGACATTTTTAGCCTCTTAAACCATACAGGGTGCTGTATGACATGTTTGCATCAGTGGACTAGTTGTTGTGGTTTGTTCCAATCTTGGACATATATGCAAACTAAGAAATAAGCAGGCAATGAATGCATGAGAAAATCTGCCATTTACCCTGCTTTTTCTTTGCACAGTTTACATAGTTTCGAGTTGTGTTTTGAAGCCTCATTAATGATTCTAAATATTAAGACATAGGGACTGCTGCTTAACAGACACGTGAAAGAAGTTTTTTTGTTTGCTTGTTTTTTTGTTTTTCAAATACACCATGACAAAACTGCAATACTGCAAAAATCCACAAAAACAAAAAGCTGCGCCTGCTTATGTAACTGAAGTGATCCACTAAACAAATCCTGACTGATGTTTTCTGTCACTTACTTCCATTAAATAGTTTGCATCTACAAGGTGCATGGCAGGCAGCTGAAAAACACTTTCTCCTGCCCATTACAAAAACCTATTCCAGCATGAAATGAGATCAAGTTCAACTGGGAATTAATAATGGATGACTATTGTATTATCTATGTAGGTCTCTATGGTTCATTCGCCTCTGAGAAAAGACTCTGGGTTATGTCTGTGTAATACTGCAGGATGCCCCCATAGGTACTGGAGGTCAGGGCAATCCCCCGGCTCTTCTCATGCTAGCACTGAGACGCAGGTTCAAAAACACTCTTTCAGATAAAGTATAGAAGGAATGGGTATGGCACCGAATGCAGGGATAAGTCAATTAAAAAGCAATTACCGTCGTTTTTATTAGAAGAATTTAATGGGAATTAAAATAAAATAAATAAATAATATTTCTTCAAGATTGATGGCCTTGACTAACAAAAGACAGGTTCATTCTATTCACTGTAGTTCTCATAGGCTGGTTTAGTAAGGTAACAGAATATAAAGGAAGAGGGCATGCATATGTCTATCTCCTGCATTTATCTGTGTGACTGTCATGAGAAGTGCTGTATAAATAACACGGTAAATCACTGTCACTGCAGTAATAATTACAATGAGAGACAATTTATATTTTTAAAGGGTTTAATTAGAACATTTTAAATCTTTATTCTATTTAAAACACGAGGAATGTTTAAATGACTGTGCTGTAAAAAAAAAAAAAAAAAACAAGAAGAAGAAGAATGCAAATTGGTCGACTTTATTTTAAATATCTATAAAAAGGTAAAAATAAAACTTTCATTACAATTTGTTGTTCAATAAAAGTGTTTTAGCCAAACAAGTGTTTTTCAGAAACTATAGCTCAGCTTAGACGTTTTGAGAGGAAAAGTGGATTCCATTACAAAGTAGACAGAATTCGTAAATTTACAGGGACAAAAACAATTTTACTGAGAAGTATAAGCAGACCAGTGCGTTGGTGAAAGTACTGAAATAGACCTTTTGCAAAATAGACTGTAATCTTATCATGTCAGCATGTTGCTCATGCGTAAAAATGACTAATGTCTTACTAACATTTATTAGTTTTATTATTATTATTATAACAAATATATGGTAAAGGGTTTTCTTACAAAAGGAGATTTTTAATCTTTTAAAAAAAAGCGCACTCAAAAAAAACCCACATTTGAGGACTGGTAGGGTGTATCTCATTTTGTTTAATTTTATTTTTAGAAATGACGCCAAATATATGTGTGTAACGCCACTTTCTCTTTATTGCAGATCATCCTCAATTCGATGCACAAGTATCAACCAAGGATTCACATCGTGAAAGCGGATGAAAATAATGGCTTTGGTTCCAAAAACACGGCCTTTTGCACTCACGTCTTTCCGGAAACATCTTTCATTGCGGTGACATCCTATCAGAACCATAAGGTAAAACCTTGGGGTATTTTTGGATATTTTTATTCATTTATTGTCGCGAAAGGGGCAGCTTTAGGTTTACGTATTTTATGGGGTGGTTAAAATTACACAGTGTTTCAAACGGAGGTAAATATAAAGAGGGAAAAAATCAGTTGTGCAAACAGAACCATGCAGTCTGTTGCACTCTCAAAAATGCCCCCGGTGCAAATGCAGGATTGCGCAAAGGTCGATTTCACATTGAAGTTATTTTTTAAAATCTGTTTATAATTTTTGCACAAATTATTTTTTAATAATAATTTTTTTGTCAATTTTTTTATGCAGCTCTTGGTCTTCTGTTGGATTAAAGGAGAGGGGAAACAATAGCTCTTTGAGAGTTTAAAGTTTTTCACTAAAAATCGTTGATATTAAACTCAGCTGCTCGCAGGAAAACTTCAGATTCCTGACTAGAACACGTTTCACAGACCCAAGTCCGTGGCATGATTTTATTATTAAGGCTTTTGTTGGAGATAAATAACTACCTACTTTGAAACAGTTCTAGTAATTATTTTTTAAATTTATTTGTTGGTGTTTGATTTTCAGTCTATTTCAGTGTAGATGAGACTATCACTGCATGCTTTATTTCGAAGCTCTCCTTACGCATTGCTCGTATATAGACGCGCAAAAAACAGATCTCAGTCTAAACTTTGAAGATTTAATTACATATACCCGCACAAGGGAAACCAGATTTTACATATGCTATTCAAATGTTTGCCTTTTTCCATTTATTTTCTAAGCTTCTCTTTCTCGGTTAACGACGGAGCTTTAATTAACATTATTGAGTTATAAATTAAGTTTCTTACCGTGTTTAATTGGAAGCAGAAAACCTTGGAATCACCCTTGTTTTTCACGTATCTGGAATCTGGAAACTTATAACATCAGATTATAGTTAAAGATGTGATTTCTTGAGCCGCACAGCTTCGTATTTTCTTTTTGTTTTGTTTTTTTTAAGTCGCCATTGCGTGTTCAGACTTGTGAAAGTAGCAGGAATAAAATTCAATATTTACACTGTCCACATTTCTGGGCGAGGGGAAAAAATCTTGGGAATACAAATATCTGCAAACAGCATCTGTTTAACATCCTTTAACCATGCAGGCCTATATGTTTTTAGTTTGGGGAATATGGGAGAAAGGGGCGAAAGCTCATAATGTCCCCGCAGCCAATCCAGGTCTCCGGGCTTCTGGGAACAGGAAGCACAAATGACCAACATTCTGTAGAAACCATTCATTATTTTTGAGCCTGTTACTAGGGGCTGAGATCGTAACTGCGGGCTAATTATTAGGGCTTTCCAGACCTGCAGGAAAGAAAGGGGCATTTCGGGTTTCGAGGCTCTTTTTTTTCTTGCCACATTTGTCTAATCAAACAGTTTTAAGCCTGCCAAAAGGAGTGGGCTACGAGCTGCAGGCATCTGTCCAATTCACCTGTTAGACTCTCAGCTAATGAAATGGTCAAAGTCTCTGGTTTCAGCTCTTTCCTGTCGTAGCTGTAATTAAAGCATTTTCTCCAGAAACTGAGGTTTCTGGAGTGGTATGTTTTCTTAAGATTTTTGTGAAACTGGGAAGATGAATTAAGACCAGCTCATATTTTTGTTCTTTTCTTTTTTTAAAAAAAAATCTTACTTGAACTACTTCACTTCATTTTGCATCTGGAAATGTGTTTATGTCAGCCTCAGTTATTTTAATGAGAACAGTTTGGACACAGCCTAGTCAAACTACAGCCTTTGAATTTCGACTCTCAAATTATTTTTTCCTTTTTTCCTCCTATCTGCTAATTCTAGTCAGAACAAAATCTTTTGTAAAATATTTAATTTTCTCTCTGTAAACTCAGCTGAGAATAAGATTGTTGGACTGGATAATTATTGGTCTAGGTGTATTTTTGGAAGACATGCAGGGGGATAAAAAGGGCGAAATAGACTCTGAACTTTTAATGCCAAACTTTTAAAATGACGAGACAGTGTATAAATGATCTGACAGACAGCTCGTATTAACAAGAAGCTAGCGAAGTGTCACATGAGAGATTTTACAAAGTTTGCTGAAAGTGTCAGCCAGCGTGCACACAAACTTCCAGTCTTGTCAAAAAGCTGGAAGCACACGAGAGCTGCCAGCTAATTACCTGCCAGAAACCACTGCTCACGAGAGGGATATCCCGGGACTGGGTTAAACCACTCTGGGATTAACTTATTGTTTATGGGTGGCTCTGAAAGTAATTTCTGCTTCTATTTGTTTGGTATTGATAGAGACGTTTTTTACCAAAACATTAAGTCATAGAATAAAATAAGTCTTATGATTTGTATCTGTCATGCACGAGCCAGCTATCTCCTAAGCTAGACATCATCTAATGTAACATCATAAATTAAGCAATGAAAGATGATTTATATAGACATGTTTTTATTGAACTATTGCACTCAGGAACTCAGCTCAGAAAGTATCTCAGGTTTCTGGAAATATGATCTGTTATTTCACTCTTGGGTAGCTTGTGAACACTTACATGCATCCAAAAAAAACCTGTAAAGCCCCGGTTTTCTCCAAAAATATATGTTTAATATTGTCATCATAAAACCCCTGAGTTGAAGAGGACTTGTCTTGTCTGACAGTCTGGCACACGGCGAAATGCTGCTTTTAAATAGCTGCTATTTCAATGCATGTGTGGGTTGGCTATAATTGGGTGCTTTTAAACGCAGCTGACAATGAAATGACATAAGCAGCACAACAATTGACTCTTACTGCAACAGTGTATGTTACTGACACTTCGTGTGTTTGCTCTTACAGATAACCCAGCTGAAGATCGAGAACAACCCATTTGCAAAAGGATTCCGTGGTAGCGATGACATGGAATTACACCGGATGTCCAGAATGCAAAGGTAAATGTGGGGGGAAAAAAACAATAAAAATGCACGTTATTCTTGCTTGCTTTTCTTTTTCTTTTCTTTTTTTTTCTTTCATAGATCCTGCTTCTGACATATGGAAATACTGACCCATACTAAATGCTGTGAAATGAGTAGATAAATGTTACCTCAATTAGGCAGGGATTACTGACATCCTGGTCACACTGTCACTTAACGAGCCCCACTTTAATCCCTCAATCACCCAAATGCAAACCAGTCGTATGTGTTATTTTCAGTGAGTGTTATTTTCAATGATGTAAGTGTAGTTCTTGATAGTCAGCCAGTTTTCATGCTGAAGACTTTTATGGCTGATCTGGCAGAACCTCTGAAACACAAATGTAACATCTCTCTTCCATAGAGCTCTTTCTACCAGGATGTTCCAACTCCTTATGTGGACTGTGCTGTGTGTGTGTGTGCAGTGTATATATATGTGTGTGTTGGTGGTGTGTGTGTGGGGGGGGCACGCATTTGTGCTGAACTGGTGGTATCTCTTGGTCAGGCAGCCAAGGCACTACACGACCACATTGATCTCTCCCCTCCCTCGCTCTATTATTCAGTCCAGATGAGGAATGGAGTATGAGTCCTTACTGCGTGGAAAACACTTTTTCAAAGGAGAAAATCTGGTTTTGAAAAAAAACAACCCCCTTTGGGCAGCCAGTTCAGACTCTATGTGAATTCAAATGAGGAGGGGAAAAAAATCCCAAATCAGACCAAACAGGAAAGGTTGTTTGGCATTTCCATAAGGTGTTAGAAGAATGCATCCACTCTAAAACCTTTACTCTGATGCACAGAATAATGATCAAGTACCTCACAATCCGTGTTGCAGTAAAAAAAGAAGTAGCTTTATAAAAAACCGCATGCCTGATTGTACTAGACGCACGTTAAATTTCTTTAAGTAGGTGCGTTCCACGAGCTAATGAAACGTTTCAAGTGAAATGCATTTCAGCTATCAAAACTTGTAAATCTATAGAAGCTGGTGAGAGTCCAAACCACACTATCAATCTTTCATGCCTTTGTCCAATCCTGCAGAGGACAGTAAGCAATGCACGTCTGCTCTTGGTTACAATATCAAGGGGAGAGCTTATTGCAAAACCAGGTCAGGTTTTCAACTGAATCCACCCCTGAAATCAAAGAACTAGAAGTAGCAAAATGATCTATTGATGGATCCTGAGGATTTATAGGGGTGAAATATTTTGGACTGAATATCCCCCCCACCCCACCCCCACCCCGACGTTTTTCTCTGTGTCCTAAGTGGAAGTAAATCACTGATGGTGATCCTCGTTGGTTGTCTTTGAGAAATGATCTTATGATGAAATGCGGAAGATTAAAATAGATCGTCTTTGTTGACAGCAAATTATAGTTGAAGATAATAACTAACAACTGTGATTGTTTGTGTGTGCACGTAGTACCAAGGAGTATCCAGTAGTGCCTCGCAGTACAGTGCGGCAGAGAGTGGGCTCCAGCCAGAGTCCATTTAGCGGGGAGGTCCAAGGCCTGGCCACACCAAACAGCCTGAGCTCCCAGTACTCCCAGTGTGAAAATGGTGTCACAAGCAGTTCACAGGACATGCTGCCCCAGTCGGGTTCCTACCCCCTGCCTCATGAGCATGGCCAAGAGTACCACTGTATCAAGAGGAAAGGTAGGTGAATCTTTTATTTATAATATTTTTTTAAATAAATGTTTATTCTTGAACACATCATGTGTGTACATGAAGATTTGTAAACTAAAAAAAATGACGTGAGATGTGTTACGTTAAACAAAGAGTAATTTAAAATATAGTGTCTGCTATTTAATATTGCTATATGTCATGTACAACCCCAGTTCTAGAAAATCTGGAATGCCATGCAAATAAACACAAAATGCTTTTATTGGAAAGTCTAATAAAGCTACATTTTCTTCACAGTAGAACACAGGAAACATGTCAGATGTTTAAACTGAGACATTTCAACATTTCATGGAAAAATACAAGCTCATTATGAATTTGATGGCAGAAACATGTCTCTAAAAAGTTGGGATGGGACAACAAAAGGCTGGAAATGGAAGTGTTACAAAAAAGAAACAGCTGGAAAGGAAAATGAGGAAAATTTTACATAAGATCCTAATTAGGCTAATTGCCAGAGGTCAGTAACATGAGTGGAGATTAAAAAAATAAAAGAGCATCCAAGAGAGGCAGAGAAGCCACATCAGCAACAAAATGCATGTACAAATTAGGAGCAATTTCAGAATAGTGTTCCTGTAGAATCTGAAGAAATCTCTGTGTGCAAGCAACAAGGCAGAAGATCAATTGGATGCCTGTGATCTCCGGGCCATCAGGCAGCACTGCATTAAAACAGGCGTGATTCAGTCATGGAAAAAATTGCACTTCTAGAAATCATTTTCTGTGAAAAGAGTTCATTGCACCATCCAGAGTTAAAGGTTTATCATGGAAAGAAGTACCCATATGTGAACATGATCCAGAAGCATTGCTGTCTTCTCTGAGCCAAGGCTCATTTAAAATGGACCCAGGCAAAATGGAAAAGTGTTCTGTGGGCAGATGAATCCAAATTTGAAATTCTTTTTGAAAAACATGGGCGTCAAATACTGTGAATGAAGGTGGAGAGTGGCTGTAGAGGCAAAGCCTAGGTGTTAAGCACGGTACAAATCTCAGAAGCCTTCATCTCTCATCGTACGGACATGCATCACTGCCTATAATTGGCAGCTTGCACATCTGGAATGGCACCATCAGTACTGAAAGGTAGATACAGGTTTTACAGCAATTATGCTCCAATATATTTAGCACAACAATGCTAAACCCGAACTGTATCTATTGCAACAGTATGGCTTCATAGAACAAGAGTCCGGCTGCTCAACCGGGCTTGTTCAGCAGCTGATCTCCTGAATTCCCTCATATGTACAGACTGTCGTTAAAGAAGAGGGGATGCTACACAGTGGTAAACATAGCCCTGTCCCAACTTTTGTGAAACATGTTGCTGCCATCAAATTCAAAATGAGCTTTTCTTAATAGTTTTCTTAATGTGGCACATGTTCTCAGTTAATCATTTGATATGTTTCCTGTGTTCTACTGTAAATTAAATACCAGTTTATGAGATCTGCAAATCATTGCATTCTGTTTGATGACAATTTGTATTTTCCATCTCTTGAATAACACAATTGCTCACCTTTCTAATTCCACCTGCAGTGGATGATGACTGTCACTCAGGAGATCACAGCTACAAGAAAGCATATCTGGAGAGCTCATCGAGTGAGGAGGACCATTACTACCGCCCTGTTGGCTACGCTCAGAGCCTCAGTCTCTCCGGTGGGCCTTACCGCAGCGAGTCTAGCCAGCGGCAGGCCTGTATGTATGCCAGTGCCTCGCAAAGCGCTGAGCCTGTTCCCAGTTTGGAAGACATCAGCTGCAACACTTGGGCCAGTGTATCACCCTATGGTAGCTGTTCTGTCACCACCATGCAGCCCATGGATCGACTGCCCTACCAACACTTCTCCGCTCACTTCACCTCAGGGTCTCTGGTGTCCAGACTAGGTGGGGTGGGAGGCCACGCCTCTCCACAGCTGGGTGATGGCCACCACGCTGCAATGTACCAGAGCTCGATGACCCATCAGACTCTGGGCCGCCAATGCAGTCCCGGGGCTGGGATCCAATCACCAGCAGCCAGTCTGCAGGGAAATGAGTACCTGTATACACATGGCATACCACGTACACTATCACCACACCAGTACCACTCTGTACATAGTGTAAGCATCATGCCAGAGTGGAGTGAGAACAGCTAAAGAAGTTGTTTCTCCCCCTCTCACTCTATAAATACAAAAAAAAAAAAAAAACACAACAAAGGACCAAAACAAGGCAGTGTTTAGATGAATTTATATTTATATTTTTTTAAAAGGTCTTGCTGTTCATCCTAAAGAGACCAGTGTTGGTTCACAGTGGATGTGCATAGTAGGATGGTGCTGACTAGAAGAGAAGGCATCTTATCACTTACCTTGTTGTGACAGCATGTGCACTTATAAACAAAGAAACAAACAAAGAGGAGCTGGACAAAAGCAGAAGCAAAGACTGCTCAAGAGCAGAGCACGCAGACACAAAAGCGAAGGTCAGAAATGCTTCAGAAGCATGTGGTCTGCAGGTCGACTGCGAACTTGTGTGGCGGTGCTTTTTCTTGGATGTCCGCATTTTTAGTCAGACCATTAAATGTGTTTGCAACCACAAGTACAAAGCTCTTTTTGGACTATATAACAAATTTGTGTAAAAAAACAAAACAAAAAAAGGACACTTGTCTTCTGTTATATTAGCCCAAGTTCTCATTTTTAAAATAGTTTTTGTAGTTAACAAGTTACATTGTAAAATTGTTATAACTTAAACCATGAATAAGCAAGTGTGAGCCTTTGTTGTAGCTCTTGCTTACTCTTAAATCTGTCAAAAGGGTTTTTATTTTTTTGTTTTGTTTTGTTTTTGTGTTTTTTGCTTTGTTTTGCTTTGTTTTGCTTTGTTTTTTCGTTTTCGCATACTTACATGCACTTCAAAAACCTTATATTAATTTAATGATGTGAAACGTGACAGAATAATTGTTCATTCGTGCCCAGACGTTTCAGGCAGAAACCGCCCTCACCACATGCAACGGTGTTACAACCAAGCAGCAGCACTGAAAAACTGATACTGACCATGTTGAGAAGCAGAACCGCAGAACTTACTCTGGTAATGATTGTGATTGACCTTGGTAGCTAATTAAATCAAGATTTAATCAGGAACTTGTTTAATTTCATTGCAATGTGCACAGCACTCCAGTGTTGAGAATTCAGGAAAAGCCCTAAAAAATCTGTACACCCACATTGCCCACAGGCGTGTACTCACACTACTATAAACTCCACTCGCAAAAGACAATGAAAATGTATCAACATATCATCCTGTTTTTCCCACGTGGCATGATCGAAAAACTAGCAAAAACAGAACAATGATAAGAAATCCAAAATTCTGTGTCAGCATCCACTAATAAATATACATTTTTGTTAATGATAAATGTAGGCTACATAATATAATTAAAAGAATTTGACCCCGAGTAATCACATGGCCAAAACACAACCCTACAGTATCATTTTTCATTCATGCTGTGTGTTTGTGGCCTTTTTTGTGGAGTTCTTCTTGCCTCAGCCTCATTAATGCATCGTTGAATGTGTTAAATGTTTGATTACAGCTATTTAACAGTTGGAGATCGAGATGTAGTTAGCTCTACAACTCACAACTTCAGACAAAAACAGCATTCTTTCTCCACCAAATGTATTATTACAACAGCAATATTATGACTGATGCAATTAAAGTGTTCTTCTGGACCTACACACTATTATAACTACATTATTACAACTTTCAGTAAAATCATTATGAGTTATAATCCCTGTTGCAGAGGGCTAACATTCAGTAAAGAATGTCCAAAATGTCTTTCCAGTGCTCCGGACACACAATATTATAGTGGAACTCACTCCACTGAATGTGTTTGTATGTTCTCTATATGTTAAATCATACTATTTTTTATTTACATTGTCAAATCAAAAAATGTAAACATTTTCTCCACTCAAGTGTTTGATATTTTACCCATTTGTTACCTGACAGTCAAGAATGGCTCATTCCACAGCACTTTGTTATGCTGCCAAACCCATGCCACAGTCTACGTACTCATGGAGGAAGAGCTCATTATTTATTTGGACTGTGGAGCCTATACTTGGCGTAAGCTACACGACAAAAAATAAGGTTCTTGGTTGATGGTGAACTGTTGTGCCTCACTCACATCCATCACAATCATCTGAATATGTTGAAACTTACTGTAGTAAGCACTACAACATCAGATAGTTTGACAAAGCTTTTTGTAACTGCAACACCATCAAATCTTTTTTGGGGGGCGGCGGGGGGGTCAAATTTTGATTGTGTGTTTTAATGCACAGTCAACACCATTATCTGGTAAGCGCTTAACGTGTGACAAGGAGACAGGTAAAGTAGCAGTTAGACATCAAATGGAATGTAAATCTGAGAATGCAGATAAAATATACTTGATTTCATTATGAAGCAAATGTCAGTTCCATCATAAAAATGACCGTGGGTTAGCGGCCTGTTTCACATGTGGACAAAGGCTAATTTTTAAGTGCTTGTAGTCGATAGAATGTTATTTGTCAATAGTATTTATTTAACAACTATGGAAATCAGCTTGCTCCTGCATGTATCAAAGATAGATGGTTCAATTTCTTTTTATAGCCGGCTTTTTATGATTGTATAGGATTTTCTAATCATGCTTCTATAGAAAACAGGAGATTATTATACAGCTGTCAAAAAGTATCAAAACAAGAATGGAAAACATGAAAATGTGGATATCTTTGTAAATAAACATGTACATAACAGAATACCTGCAATAAATTAAAAAAAAAAAAAAAAAGAAACTTGCTGGATTGTTTTTAAATTTTTTGGTTGCATTTTGTTTCAGGTGTGGATTCACTGGCCACTTTATTAGGTACAGTTTGCTAGTATTGGGTTATACAGCTTTTCTGCCTTCATGGCACAGATTAAACAAGGTGCCAGAAACATTCCTCTGGGATTTTGGTCCAGATTGACTTGATAGCATCACACAGTTGCTGTGGATAGATGCCTGTTCCACCACATCCTAAAGGTGCTCTATTGGATAGAGATCTGATGAGTGTGGAGGTCATTTGAGTACAGTCAACTCACTGCCATGTTCAAGAACCCAGTTTGAGAGAATTTGAGCTTTGTGACATGGCACCATATCCTACGGGAAGCAGTTATGTGGGTAGATTAGATGTTTAAATGATGCTCTGTTCGTATTAAGGGGATGACCTTTTTGTGTAAGATTTTGCATGGTCTTTCCTGTGCCTCCTGACTGAGTATGTAATGTAGTTTAAGCATTTAAGATTCATAGAATCAAATGCTGTACGAGTGTTTGGTTAAACGTGACTTGAGCACTTTGCTTGGTAAGTATGACTAGGAAAACACTTTATAAATGTCAGTCCATTTTCATACATTTTGGTATATAAACTATCCAATCAAATGGTATTTTGTTGTTAGTTTTTTAGGGATTTGCTCTTTCACTTACCGGTTATGTTTAATGTAAGTCAAAGTGTAGGTTTCCTCTATGTACATTTTCTGCAGTTTCCATGTATAGTGATTTTATTGTGGTTGACTTCTGGCTGGTGACAAAAATGTGCAAAGAGTCACATACCTATCCATGTAAATCTCCAAAGAGAAGGGTATATTAACATATGCTTTACTGGTCTAAGAAGTACATACATGGCTTACCTATTCTGTCTGCCTTTAAAATAAATGAAACAGAAATCCCAAACAAAGAATGGGGGAAGAAACTGCATGTCCTGGTGAGATTACTATCAAACAAGCAGATTGGTTGATTTACCTGACAAAGACAGAACAGTTGTTTTATTTCAAATTTGCAAAGCATTTCCAACATTATATCATTAGCAGGAAACACTTGTTATCACTGAGTCCACTACACTCAAAAAAATCTGTTGTTGGATGAACACAATTTAATCATGGCACCCTTTTTGCACACAATTTAACCAAGTACAATAAACCCTTTTCGATCATGTCAAACCAACACATTTAGCATTTGGTGGTTTAATGTAACCAGATTACGTTGGATCAACATACTATACTTACATTGATTTGAAGTGATTTATTTAAGTATGTAGAG